TATATATAAGATTATTTAAATTATAATATATTCATGAACTACATCGAATATTTACAATAAAATAATTAGTTGGGATTAATATTTAAAACAAGTATTTGAATATATATATCCCAATCTAATTTTGGTATGAATATCTTGACCTAATTTTGTTTAGTCCTTGTACCTAGGGCATGATCTTCTTTAATGATCATGTGGTCATTGGCTTCATGTTGGACCCTCATGTTGATGATATTATCTCATCCATTTTAGTACGATATTGGAGGTTCGTAAAATGCAGGTTATGAACTATTTTTCCTAAAGGCACTACAACAGACATTTATAAGATGCATCTGGATGTGTTTTAGAAAATTCATGATTGTAGAGTAATAGATTGCCGTCTTAATATTATATGAGGATTTAGTATACACTCAAATAAAAGAAAATAACTAGTAGAGATATCGAAAGTTTTAATCTTGAAAATCAAGAAAGGAAAAAAAAAATCACAGGGTCTAGCTCTGTTGAAGAGATTTACTAAAAATTGGTGATTATAGTTACAAGTCTTTAACCCACATATGAGAAAAGGTTACACAGTCTATTGAGTTACAACATCGGTGTGGTGATGAACTTGCCATAAGAAGTATGAGGTGACTAATACTAATTGGCAGCGGTCGACAGCTAGCGATCATCAGTGCAGAAATGATGATGGATTTAGCTCATTCTCCAAGCTTCAGTCTTCAATTAATAAAGAAATATGAAATACTCTTATTGGACGATCAGAAAAGATTTTCTCAATAAAATGATGTTTGATAGACATTTGAATATCTTAATTATGTCGGAATTATGAGTCTCCCATGATTATTTATTCTGATAATATGGAGTTTGATTCCTATCATTTTATTTCTCCCACGATTTTTTAGTGCAACAAGGACCAATTGAAAACCCTACCCCTTAAGTGAAATATCATTTGATGCTCCAACATCATACCAATCAATTTTTTATTATTATTGGGACTTTCACATACAAATCATACATTTCTTATAAATCTATAGATTAAACACCTAATTATTTATATTGACAAACAAATTACTCAAATGTTTAGCTTTACATTGAAAATATCATTGTTACTAACTCTTTAAAAGTTGAAATATACATTTCATGTATAGCTTTTAATACCAAAATATTATAAATGTATTTTCTTTTATTTAATCATTATCAATTTGGTTTTTCCACTATACATATAAATCAAATTCAAACAAGATAATATGCAAATATGTGAATTTTTATGGGATTCTTCTTGAAACATTTATGTTCAAATCCTAAACCGCTATTTTTTCTGTATTACAAATTAATTCAAATTAGATGATTTCAAAAAGCATGGTTTTGGATGATTTTTAAAAAGCATTTTATTTTGCTAGCAACCCTAACCAACATCATCTTATTTTTGTTCGCATTTGTAACCCCTCATTCACTATCTATATTCCTAGCTGCATCATCAACCCATTCCCAACCCCGATCATGCTTGTTCTTCACATATGGTAAATATCTTTACCTTTAATTATTGCATCATCTTCATTGATCATGTTTGCACCCCATTTCAACATTGATCCTCCAATAGAAATTATAGATATTGGATCCTAGTTTGTCCTTTGTGGAACACGCTACGAGAGTTTGACTCGAGTGAAGGAGAAAAGAAAGAAAAGCGGAATAGGTATGAGATCTTTATAGGAAGAACCGAGGGAAAGGTAACTTTATTGGTATTTTTGCCCCGTACATATAGATGTGTGTTTTATATAATTACAGAAAAGATGAAAAGGTTATAGAAGTCATTTTTAATGTCATTAAGATTCTAATTGATTGTGTAGATTTTATGTCATATTTGTATTGCAATTTGAATTTCAACGTTAACGGTAATTGACTGGTTGGTTGACTTGAAGACAACTGACTAAGGTGATCGACTGAGTGACATCTGTGCCCCATGGAGTAAGCATTGGTCGGTCGAGGTGTTCAACCGTATGGCGATCTTGCTCATTGTCTTTTGACGCAATCGACCAGAGCAATTGGTTGTAAGGTGGTTGTTTGGTCCGGACACAGAATTGGTTGGTAGAATGTTATTAGCCGACTTTTTTTGCAGTGAGTCATGGCTCATTTGAGAGGTTCATCTACGGATCCTATGCAGAAGTTATCTGCTCACCTGGATGTTGAAGCAGTGTTTCTGCGAGACAGAGCTCGAGGTGTTCGCGAGCTGGAGGCACTCTGTAAGATGTTTGATCTGGCGAAGTTGAACCAGGAAGCTGATTAAGTGGATCATATTTGGTTAGGTGGAAAGTTTTTTCTCTGGAAGTTGAGTGGGCATGTTTTATCTTAGGTCTTGAAGAACACTTTTATAAAACACTTCATTTGAGGCATGTAATAATGTTATTCACAATAAAATGATATTTAATGAATTTTTGAAAAGATGTTTGGTGTGATACTTATGATTATATGATGCTTCGTCTGACAAACTTGCCTTACAAACAAGGAAAAGGTCCGCTTCTTTTCATCTTATGCAGTATTAGTCTCTTTTTATTTTTTTCTTCGGCTTTCTCTTCTCTTCTCTTCTCGTCCTTCAACTGGGTTTGCACTTGTCTCCCGAGATGGCCCCCAAACATTCACCTATTTTTTTCGGCTTTGAGAAGGGCACTAACTCCTCATTTGAGCAGAGAACGAAGCGAGGGAGTTGCAGAGATGGTATGTTCTTGACGAGAACATAGGATTTCAGAGGTTGCCCGGATCGACGCAAGCGACAAACCATTTAGGAAAAGACTCAGTCTTCTACCGAGATAAGTTTAAGTATGGCCTCTGGTTGCCCTTGTGTCATAAGCTCTGAAGCATCTTCAATACTTATGGTGTTATTCAGGCGCAAGTGATGCCGAACTCCATAGTCGCAGTCACGACTTTCGTTATTTCAGTCAGCGGAAGAATTTTGTGTGGTCGATCAAACTCTTTAGATACTTCTTCTTATTTAAGTTTGACAGGAGGGCTATGCTATATTCTCAGTGGGTAAAGAATTCCTCTTACTATGAGTGAAGAATAACATAAATGATTGGAAGAAGTAGTTTATGTTTGGTTCTTATTCTGGAGCTCGGGGAGTTCGAATCAAGCCATCAGGGTGTAAGGTGCCCAAACCGATGTCTCTTCCAGAGAGCATGATCGTTGCCCTGGAGATTTTATCTGGTCACTATCTCTTGGTTCCTCAATATACTACCAAGGCGATAATTACTGGTGTGTTGGCGGATAAAATAATGGAGGGGGCGAAGCCACAACTCGGACATTATAAAATTAACATTTGTAGAATCTTTGATGTAATGTTAAAAAATTATGTGTTTTGCACATAAATATAAAACTTGATAATGTAAATACATACTTAGTTGTGTGATATGATGTAAGTACCCGTTGAAAAAAACCAATTTTTACGTTTTATCATGCATAAAATTATAGGTTTGAGCTGATAGGCCACGTGTAACAGCTGCCCTTTCGTCATTTTTTTTTCTTAGAAAAATCACGGAAATATGACAAAATATAAATTTCAAATTATTAATCTAGCAAAAAAAAAAAAAACTCATCTAATTCACTGGCTCTATGCTTCGAAACAAAAACAATTTTGACCGTAGATCACCGTGATACACAATCACAATCAGACACCACATGCACACACAATAATTCCTCCTATGCTTCGGTCTGCAAAGCGTGTTTTTAATGATTTTGTAAATTACATTGGTGGTCCCAACATTCGAGGAATTAATGAGGCAGTACTCAGTTATCCAAAAATATAATTTATTTATTTATTTTTTTGGCTAAATTATTAACTCTCCGTACGTGGATCTGAAAAAGAAAAAGAAGACTTGAAGTCATGGGGTAGGGCCCATTCATCCAATACATAATTGCCACCACTGTATGATTGTACTACAGCATTCAATGCTATATTATTCTCCGCCAACTCAGCAGCGTTGTTGTCACGTTAATATGTCATTATCTTAATTAATCACACTTTGGCCAACTTAAACCATAGTTTTGCTCTAGTATTAGCATCTTTTATCATATATTTAAATCACAGATGCTTTCCGTGCGGAAAAAGTTATGCGCTAGAAAAGTATAATATAAGTTTAATTAATTAAGCATGCATTATTTAATTTTTTTTAATAAAAAAATGTATTAAACGGATATTAAATATATTTTAATTTATAGGACAAGTTATTTCAATTTGTATAAGGAAAAGAGATTAAGAAAGAGAAAAGAAGATTTGAGTACTTTATATTTTTAACTAGAATTCTATCCTCCCGTCTATTTATAGTTTAATGTAACACATTTATAGTTGAATGACATTTGTCTCCTGTAATTGCCTTGAACACTGCTTCACATTGTAATTTTTCAATTTGGTTGCTCGGAGTTCATTCAATTGGCCATAATTCGTTCACCCTACATCATTGCATCGTCTTCAATGATCTTCGGTTGCCCCTTTTGTGGAGATTGAATGTGATGACACATCGTTCTAGGGTAGGATTATCTCATCAGACAAAGGATAAATTATCGTAATCCGACAAATAATCTACTTTTACCCTATGTTTCTATATTAAAGTTTCTCATCTTAGGCGGTTGTTAATTCCTAAGATGGTATTTACTAGGTTGTTGATGTTGATACGGCCGTGTAGTATTTTTTGGGTCATTTATTTTCTTCATTTGGTCGCCAAATCTATATTATTTATGTCTTCAATCATTTCTGCTTGAGATTCACGTAGGCATATTTCTGATGCAGAATTATTCACTAGTTATATAATCAATATACAGTCATTGTTGTGGAAGATATAATTGTAATACTAAGTTACTTTTATTTTAGACAAGCAAATGAAGTTGGAAAATTGACTTAGCTAGGAATGCCTTATTCAGCTCATACTATACGGTTATCATCATTATCAAAAAACGATGCAGAAGAGTCGGGCACTCAACAACCCCTTATGTGTTAATATAAGTCTAATTTCAGCCTGCAAATATATCTGTGGTTTGGTGGTGAAACCTCACAAAAGAAATTTATAGGATCAAACACGAATCTAGATTCATTTTAGGTAACAATCTTCTTATATTCAAATTCAAGATCATCTAAGCTTAACATACAACTATGTTACAGTTAAATTGAGTATCCCGACGATACGAGCCTAATCAGATTGAAAGTGATTCAACCAAGTTCAAATCAAACATTTCAATAAAACATTAACTGAAGTACTAAATAAACTCAAAATTTGACATATTTACAGTCAAATTGAGCGTTTTAATGATAGAAATTCATTGAGTCTAAGATCATTTGATTTTGAACTTATTAAAACAATTAACTATTAAAAAAATATTTATGATCAAGGGAATCAATGTGGACCATCTGATGAAGTTATTTGAGATTTTCGATAGATTTAATAAAATTCATATATCAAAAACTATAAATATGCTTTTATTCTTTACTTGAAAGAGAAAAATATAAGAGAATACAACTAAAACAAAACTCTTGAATATAACAATCACTTGTCAATATCGGTGGTTGTTGTGGCCAACTAGGGTTGTGGTACCAACAAATATTATTGTAGCAACCAACTACAATTACTGTAGTCTTCACAATCCCTATAAAAGATTGACGAGTTATTTCAAGATATTGTTGATTTAATATAATATTATAATCTCGTTTCTCTAATTTAGGAGAAACTAAACCTCTATGCATTTAATTTTCCTAGTGAATTACTTTGACTGAATTATGGCTAATTGTTTTTTTTTCTCTTTATTGAGTTTTGACACCTAAAAATGATTATTTTCTCCTATACTTTTATCAATGTGTGTTGAGAAATTATATGAACTAAAACTTCAAAAACACTGCATGTGAATTATAAATATAGAACTTGTAATTAAAATAAAGAATATTTTCTTCCGAACAATTATTATAAATGTTTATTCAATGAAAGTGATCAACATATTTTTTCAATGATGTTATAAAATTTGTTCGAATGCATAAGTTAGTTGAAAATAAAATTAAAAATATCAAAATGTTAGATTTAAATGCACTGGTTTAAATTTTTTTTAATCCAAATTTAAAAATGTAAAAATAATTAGAAATAGTATAATTAAATTAATTTTTATTCCTAGAACACTTACTTTCATATTACTAAATTCATATAAATTTACATATCTAATATATAAATTTTACCTTTTATAATTTTATCATCAAAGTCTTCCATTCATATCACTTCACAGCTCAAAGACATCATATTTTAAATTTTTAAAAACAATTCATACATAAATAAGATTGATATGTATGTAAAAAATTGAATTTTATTAGGTTGATATGTAAATACATAGAAATTGAGTGATATCTATGCAAATCTCCGTTTTTCTCCGATCTTCAGTCTGGTTGTTTCGCCGGTGCCTTCCTTGTCCGGCGGGGAAGACGGAAATACGGCATTCTTAGTCGTGGTTGCCTAAAGTTATCTGTTCTCTTTGGATGGAACTGAGAGATTTGTGAAAGAAAATAAAAAAAAAAAAGGGTTTTTTTTTTTTTTTTTAAGAGGGAGTGGGTGCTTGGCATCGCCTTCTCGATCAGAACCCTAGGGTTTTGTGAAGCGCCTGCCATGACTGAAGGCCTCTGCGGGAAACGTCTAGAGTTCGAGGAAACCATTGGATCTCCGCCTTCGGCTCCGTCCGCTAAAAGATCACGTTTCTCGAACTACGGTTCTCCCATTCGTATCGCCGAAGCTGGCGTCGCGGCCGAGGATAAGGTCTCGGTTCTTCTGCGCATGTTCCCGTCTATGGATCGGAAGGTGATTCTCTTTTTCGGAAATCGATTTTTTGATGTCCACTTCAAATTGCATCTTTAGCCTCTCTGAAGATTATTGGTAAAGAAATAGATTGGCAAACTCCGATGTGTCTCCTTATTGTTTGCAACATTGTAGAAATTATAAGTTCTTATATGATGGTACATGTCAGGAAGTACAGGGGCATCATTTTTAGGTCATACATTGTTAGTATCAGGATCGTGAGGGAGTACATTTTATGTGAAGAAAAAATTGTCCGGATTTTTACATAAAGATTTACAATTTGTTTCATATCATTTCGTGCGAATTTAGTTCTCTTGCTCATGTTTTGAAAGAGTGGGCTAAATCTCAAAACCTATTGGTGGATTATAAAACAAACTTACTGCTGAGGTTTTTTTTTTTTTTACCTTTGTAGCAGAAATTTTGAAGTTAATTATAGACATGATGAAAGTGTTACAGAGATCTTCCACCCCCAGGCTTTAGTTATTAGATAAGAATTCTATTATTAGCTTCTCTGAAAAAGTGATTCACAGTCATCTATTCAGGCCAATTTTTTGTACTTTTAGTATCAAGTTTATATTTTTGATTGAAGTGTTTTTGAATACAAGAAAATAATTTGATCTTCATAAATTTGATCATGAAAAGATTCCACGCGTTATTTTGAGTTTTTGTCAGAGAAGAAGTCACAATCTTTGATTCTTCACATACAAAGAAATGGACTTAAGAATATTCCCTTAAAATGATTTTTGACGTTCTCCTCATAGAAATTCTGCAATGGATTCCTAATATGAAATTTGATACTGATGATATCTTAACTTTATTGTTTACAACAGTTGGAAATGACCTAGACATCCTTTTGTGGTTCATTTCTCTTTAGAACAGGACAAGATACCTTTATTTTCTTGTTTTTCAACAAACTCATGACAATCTTTTCCATGGGTGTACTTGGCAGCTTGACTATTTATTAAGTTTAGGGGATATGCTAAGTTTCGATCAATTTGTGGCCTTTATTTCTATTCCTCGGCAGTCATTATGCTGAGGATGTTGATTACTTTTAATAAATTTAAATTAAGAGTTGCATATGCACCAAATTGTGTTTTTGAACCAACTTATTATATCCTCTAGGTTCTTACGTTGAAACAGTAATTTCATCAACAATGCATGTCAATTATCCAATGGGAAGATGATTTTGAGTTATCCAAGACCATATGTCATTTTAATTCTTCAGCAGCAGCTGCACATAAACCAAAATAATCCTAGTCCTACTTCTTTGTGTAGAATATTCTTTCCTTGAAAGTTGTACAAAGGTGGCTTCATTGTGTTAGGATGCAATTCCTTTTTATATCAAGAACTTTCAAATTGGCTTTCTAACCATCTCTGAGCAGGTCGTGGAAAATGTTCTAAACTCGCATGATAGCAATATTGATGATGCGATCAAGAATCTTCATGCTCTTTGCCTTGGTGAAACTTCAGTGAGGAATGAACCTGTTTTTGTCCAATCAAAAGAAGATGGAGAAGAAGGTAGGAAAGCAACTATCATATTTCATTATAAGGTTTTGGTTTCTAATTTATTGCTTCTTTTCCATGCCTCGCCTAGACATTTAACTGCTTTTTTGAGGTAGGTGTTATAAATGCACAGAGTCCTGTAGTGAATGCTGCAGTCTTATATAATGCTGAGTCTGGTCTTGAGCTAAAAGAAACTCATGGATCCTCATGGGTGGATATATTTGTCCAAGAAATGATGAAAGCAGCAGATTGGCACGATGTGAGGAGCCAAGCCATGAAGATTTTGGAATCTTTTAAACAAATGATTGTTGTCCATTCTACTTCATCCAAGGAGGTAACTGATAAATTAGCTGTAGCTTTTGGGATTTTAGTTACAGAGCAAGTACTGGCTTAATTTTTTTGTTATACTTCGGGCAGCAAGAGATTGCTTCTCTGAAGGAGCAGTTGCAGTTCTTGCTGAGAGATAATCAAATTTTGAAGAGGGCTGTTGCAATTCAACATGCACACAATTTAGAATCTGAGGAGAAGCTTAAGGAAGTGCAACAGCTGAGGAATATAATTAGTCAGTACCAAGAGCAAGTCCGCACACTGGAGGTGACTCGCATAACCTTTCAGCTCAATTTTTCTTCATGTACATTTTGTCGTTGCACCAATAAGTATTTGTGAATATAAGTTCATGATACTGAAGTATAGCTTCTCTTCCACTTGATCTAAATTGAAGTTTCTGTTCAACTGCTTGCTGACTTTTAATATTTAATGCCGAGTTCATTGACACTCATCTTCTTCTTTTCGTAAGAAAATTTTGATTAAGAGAAAACTCTTGGAAGTATTTGTGGATCGTGTTTTTAAAATGAACTTCATTAAAAGGAATAAACACATTCTAAAGATCATTTCACACAGCAGCATGAAGAACTCGGTGAAGCTTTATTTATGGAAAAGAATTAAAATCTTCTTCTAAGATTGATTTATGCTAAGGGAGTGTGTAACCAGGCGAAGCTTTGGATCACAAGAGTTGTGAGTAGTGAAAACAAAAACCCACCACTAAGATTTGTAGTTGGCCATCTTCTGAAGCAATCATATATCTATTCTCTAAGTATGCATCCTTTCCCTCCCCTTCCTCCACGTCACCACCCACTCATCTCAATCCTTTGGCTTCCAGAATGGCAACACAATCCACATGTTCATTGCATTTTCCTTCTTTGGATGCTATCAACTTTGCCTACTAAGCCACCGAGATCTTCACAGTTGATTCTTAATCCTTATAACATCTTGGCATACATGTTTTGCAATTTCCTCTTTCTGCTGTGAGAAATTTGATGCGATCAATGAAATTACTTTATAAACAGCCAATAGTTTTATATGTTTTATTTTTTTATTATACTTATTTACTATCCTTTTTACATTTTAAAGTTGTTTTTATGATATTTATTTACAATCATTCAAATGACTTTGAGTAAAAAAATTATTTATTTCATGGTGCACTCTCAAAATACATGAAATTAAATGGCCCCAAAGCCATGATCTATTTTGGGGGTTAATTATTTTCTTTTACAAAAAGGAAGAAAGATAAACAAATGCTAGATATATTAACACGGACACAATGAAAAGAAAGAATGTTACAATAGGGGCATTGTGCTAAAAGACTTAACAAGGCAAAATAAAACTACTTAAGCTTGACCATTAAGAAAGTTATGTTGGGTAGAAGACATTAAAAAAACAATTGATGTTGCAAAAATTTGGTTTGAAAATGGTAACTAAGGAGAGCATATTCTCTTTTAATGGAAGCATACATGGGGTAGTCCATTGAGATTTCATGTAGAACATGTTTGATAAGCACTTGTTGTGGCAAAATATAAGACACCAGGCTATCAAGGGGCAGAGATTATGTGAACACCTGTTATTAAATGTGACAAATTATCTCTACTGTCCAGGTTAACATAAGAGGTTTATTGACCAGCCATTAGTAAATGAGATAGATTACTTCCAATCTGGCAATATCTATCCAGTTCAAGCCAATTGGTCATGTTGGTCAAGCTTGGCTAGATCCTAAACTTGGCCTAATCTTGATTCTCAAGCCACTTAGCCAGGTTGACTCAACTTGGCTGGATCATAATTTCTGATATTTTAATGAAATATGGCTGTAACTACAATGAGTCTAGGGATTGCTGAAATGTCGATGAAGAAATGGGAGAGCTTGGCAGATAGGGCTTGAATAGGAAAGAGAGCTAGTAGCCTAGCTGGTTGGACAACCAAGAGGGGGGCTAGCGGACGGACAACCAAGAAGCATTTCCATTGGTGTGAGTTGGGGAAGCTAAAGTGATGTTTGTGGCTGGAAAAAGTATCCACCCTTCCCTTTAAATGAATGAATGGAGGCCATTTATTTCAAGTTTGTCTGAAATTTGCTCTGTTGATCCTTTGGTGAGAATGTGCTTCACCCTTAATAATGAATGGAATCCAAATTTGATCATTGTCCAGCTTCTTTTTTATAAAATGTCACTTTAATATGTTAGTATGGTCGTGTTGTATGAGGTTATTGACAATATTAATAGCTAAATTGTTATCACAATAGAGTCTCATATGACTTTTTCATTCAACTTTTAAATATTTTAATTTTTAGCCTTAACAATTCACATATTCTTTGTGCCATAAATCTAAATTATTGTTCGGCAATGTACCTTACTATTAAATTTTATTTTTTATATTTCTGTAAGTTACAAGATTCCCGCCTAAAAGGTGTGATATTTTGAAGTTAACCTCTTGTCAATCATGGCATAATTTGCACAAGTTAGTTTTAAGGATTAATTTTCCCTCTTTTTTGAATAAAGTTTTTTATGGGTTTTTTTTTTTAGATACTATAAGATTCCATGCAATGCTTAAAAATGTTATTCTTGAAGATTATATAGGAATCAACTTAGCACACCAACAAAATAGGTAATATTAGCTTTGATATGTAATAAGTAAACAAGTACTCCTACAAATAGTTGATAGTAGAATTGTTTTAGTGCCTAGCCTTGTGAAGTATCTTTAAATTTATGATTAAATTATATGAGGCTTTTGATAGGTTTGCAACAGGCTTTTTATGTTTCTTTTTTTTTTTGTTGTGATATAAAACTTTTATTTTGAAAGTGCTACTTTAATGCCAAGAAAGTACTTCGTTTTGTCAATTTTTTTCTTCAAATACTTGGAGTAGTGTTTTAGTTTTTTCTTTAAGATTTTTACTCCTTCCAAGTTACTGCTTATCACAATAATCTCCTTAACTTAAATTAGTAGTGCGGGACTACCTCTAAAGTAACTAGGAATGTAGATAAGTGGAGCCAAGCATGAGCCACTTTTGGCTTGAGCTTGTTCTTGATTAACTATTTAAGTTTGAGTTTGAACTCAAGCATAATTCTATGAGTGAAGTCGCCTCATAATCTGGCTCATTTATTGTGAAGCATAAAAAATCTTTTTTATGCAATCAAATATTATAATGAAATAATAAAAAGAAAGAGAAATTTGTGTAGAAATAATAAGAATTTATTTTATAGAAGTAATTAAAATATAAATTTTTAAACACTTTTGTACTTCAACAATTGAAAATTTACATTTCTAAGCTTCTCATATAGTAATATTTTCAGAAAAATTTACATACATGCCTCAGTTGTATATATTTGCATGTCTAATACTTAAATTTTCATATTTATATTTATATCACTTTGATGTAATAATTCTATGCATAAGAATATGTATTTTACTTTAAAAAAGTTATTAATAGTGATATTTTTTATGTGATATTAAATATTTGAGTAATGCGTTATAAATGCAAAAGTTTTGGTGGTAGATATGTAAATACAAAGCTATGTGTGGTATGAATGTATATTTCCCTTTTTTTTAAAAAGGTCTGACTCATGAGCTAACAAATTTAGTTGGGGTGGCCCAAATTTGACTTATTAGCTCATCAAGCTCTATTCATAAGCCATTTTTCGAGCCGAGCCTGAGCTGGCCTACAAATTAGCTTAACTCAATTACGCCCTACAAGAAGCATATTTCACTCATAGTAGGACCATAGTAGTGCCATATCTGCACCCTTACATTATGTTATTTTACTCGTAATAAAAATGGAAACATGCCTAACCGCTTGCATTTGGTGTGCATTTTACCTTATCATAAAAAAGGCCAACAATTTCAACAATCAAGATCATTGTCAGCCATCCACCGCCTTTAATAGAAACTCTTGGTAGATCCAATTGTGTTGTTTAATTTATTGCTATTTGGAATTGTTTTATCAATCCATCGTTTGGTCATTGTAGAGCTTTGGGTGGCTACAGAATGGGACGATTTAGTAGTCTTTGAATGATATGCTCCATTGCTTATTAAAATTTTATTTCGCGTAGGTGGAAATGGAGAGAAGGCGAGAATTAAGGTAAAAGAGAGGGGTATAATATTCCTATTTCTTCATGTCATTTCATAATAATTCCAATTACAAACCACAAGCCTCAATTCATAGAAATTTGCTTGCAAATATTGAGCTAAGTAACTTGAAATTAAATCTTGCACCAATCTAAATATTTTACAGTAATCTTATCACCTAATTTGAAATAAACATACTTTTAGTAAATAATATATATATATATATATATATATATATATATATATATCAAATAAATCTAGAATCTATATATATATATCAAAGAATTCTAGCATCAATTTTTTTATGATGCATCAATTCCCTTGAGACAATAAACCTCTTCTCGAAGTACTTTGTAGAAGCCCTTTCCTAAAATCTGATTTCCATACTGGATGAGGAGGGGGAATTGTGTTATGAATATCTCTAGCATCATCATGTGTGAACTGACTGTATTTGATGCTAGAGATATACTTAGCCTTGAGAATTATATTTGATGCATGTAAACTTGCTTCTCCACCTTTATAGGTTTGGTAGCAAAATCATTTACTACTATAGACCCCCTAAAATCTAGTCTAATAATGTGAATTTTGCTTGATATAAATCATTGCAAGAGAACTTATAGATAAAACTTCCATGCTATAAATAATTACAACATATTTGTCTCAAATTTATGATATAGTGACTTTTGCAACCGGAGAGAGGGCTTTTTTAAGATCTTTTCAACTAAAAATTACTATAATTTCATCAATTGGAAAACAATAAAAAGGCTATAATGTCTGCTTTTGATTAAGCTTATCATTCCATATGCCTATATACTCATGTTGCAGTTGAACAACTACACGTTGAAGATTCATCTCCAGAGGGCTCAGGAGGCTACCTCTATTCCAGGTCGATTTCATCCAGACATATTCTGATGGTTAAGCAACTCTGAATCCATCTTTCGCTCACTCAATCTTTTGACAAATCATCACATTTTCATAAGGTGAGTTCATGGCTAAGCTGTCATGGACCTCTTCTTCAACAATTTTCTGTAATAAATGGGTCTAAATAGACCAAATTGGCTCGCAGCTGATGAGAAGGCATCATTTGGGTTGATGGCTTAAGCTGAGACCACATAAATTTGCTGCAACTAGGATCTGATTGACGGCTAATTCAAGATTTAGGATACGGTTCTTATCTCCCATCTTATCGAATATATAGCCACAAATTCTTGATAAGTACTTCTACTTTGTTTTCTTGTTGGCTCTGGATGTGAATGCTTCCTTCTGTTGATTCGTTTTGATGCAAATATAAGATTGTAAATTGAATTGCAAAAAGTAATAATAAAAAAAAGAATTCATTCTAGTTGATTTTAATGCTCTGATTATGTTTTTGGTTATACCATACTTAATATTTTAGCTTTTCTTTTTTTTTTTTGGAGATTCACATACATACATACCAGTATACCTCCCAATTCTTATGTAAATAACTTCATTTTTTACATAAATGCAACTTTACTTGTGCATGAAAAGGTACATTATACTTTTTTAAAAGTTAAAATGATGATATATTTTTTTTCTTATTTGGGGTGAAATTTTGGTGGTATGAATGTAGAAAGTAAGGTTTAGGTTCTAGATATGTAAATATATAGGAATTTGGTGATATGTATGTAAATGCTCCTTTATTGCATTTTCTTTCTGTTCCCGGCAAAGAAGAGAGTGGATCAGGTCCTGGTTGCAAATGAAGTTCAACTCAAGCTAATCCTTACATGAGAATTGAGATTAAGCTTGAATAATTAATCAAGTTTTAATAGTAAGAAATTGTTTGAGATAAAATAGTTAGAAACTCTATGAGATTAAAAAAGAAAGATATAGTTTTTATGTATGCTCAATATACTTCATGCTTAATTATAATGGAATATATTTTAAATGTAATTTATATTAATTTTAAAAGATGAACGGACCAGTCGACACGGAAAATCTCTCGCAAGTTCTTATGATGAATATGAGCTGGTTTATGTGGTGACAGTGGCTGACGTTGCGCCGGCTTTGTAATGATGAGAGTTGCATCCGACAATTGTGGCCCATGAGATCAAATTGTGGGCGATGGTCTCATCTCATTATATAATTTTTGAAATGTATTGAAGCATCATCTTTGGGGTGGCATCTCAATGTTCAGGGATGATGTGTTAATTTACATGGTGCTTTCTAACTCCGCAATCTCAGATGACGCTTCGGACTGTGCTTCGTAGCAAGGAGCAGGTAGTGGCCAATAAGTAGTGATTGGCGATGGGCTGCGACTGGTGGTCTGCAACATGCGGCGACTGGTGGTCGCCGACAAAGTGATGCTGGACTTTAGCTCCTCCCAGCTTCAAACTCTTCCTTAGGCTTTAAGCTCTCCCCCCCCTCCTCATAAGAGCTCTCTCCCCTCCCCATGAGAGGGGTGGGGCTCTATTTATAGAGTTCTGAGTGCAATTAATGCAGTAATATAAACATTTGATTAGACCGCTCAGAGGGCTTCCTTCGATCAGACGGCATTTGATGGATATTTGAGTGCTTTAATGATGTTGGAATTGAGCGAACTATGGCTCGTTGGATTCATCTCGTTGAGATGTTCGATTCGACTATGAAATCGTCGGATTCGACATGCATTCGACCTTCCAAATGTGTCTGAAAAACTTTCAAATATGATTTAATGACTTGATCGGGGTTTGATTTGGTTCAAATTGGATCAATGTTGGAACCACTGAGTCCCTCTCTTCAAGTCGATCAATTTGACTATAAGCTTGCTGAAATCGAAGCCCTCGATTACAAACACACTATTGCAAATGATTTAGTTATTTATTAATGTCATATGGGCTATAAATTTGATTTGTTTGAGTTTTAAATTTTTAATTTTAGTTATTTTAGTTGGGAAAAAAATTTTAATTTCCTCTAAGTCCCTTATAAGTAAAAACAACTTCTTTCAAACACAAATCATAGAAATAAAGCTGTACAAAACTTAAATGCACATTTAAAAGAAATAAAAAAAAAATCAAAATAATATAAAGGACAGGCAAAAATTAAAAACTGGGCAGTCGAGCTTTGCTCTTATACAACCCGGGCTAGAGCTAAGAGGTTGACCAATGGGGTCTTCTCCTTCTTCATCTTTGATTCACTTCATTCTAAGTAGAGATCTTCCGGGAGTCGCAGCTTGTCCTAATTATATATTTAAATTGTAAGAAAAATTTAACTAAGCCTGTAAAATAGACGGCAATGAATAATCATACACACAAATGGATACAGCCATACATATGGACTGAGCATAAGAATTTATGCTATAAACATGATCTCCTAAGATAAATCATTAAGATTAATAAGCAATTTCATTGACATGTAATCATAATAATCATCACATCAAGAAAATCAATGCACAACAATTGAATATGAATGGCCTAACCTAGATCTAGGTTAGCTACATAACAATCATTTTTAGTGTGACGACTCTATGTTAGTCATTAAAGTTTAAGTTTCAGTTCAAATTTGTAATTAATAGTTTATCTTTAGGTGGTTGCAATTTTAGTATTTCATATTTTAAAAGTTTATATTCTAATTTTGGGTTTGATATTCAAGTTTAATTTTCTGTTTTAAAAGAATATTAGGACAAGCATAAACATACCCCGCTTGGTGCAACTCCCACCATTCCTAACATCCCAATCTCAATGAAAAAATATTGCATAAGGAGTTCAGATGCAGGTTTGCATCAATACTCCAATCAGAGTCTATCACGTGTACAGACAAGCCCGCCTCGGAAAAAAAAATAATTTAATATATGATTGGACCTGTTTGTACACACGACATGCACTGATTGAAGTTCTGATGCAAACCTGCATCTTGAACTCCTAATGCAATATTTTTTTCCAATCTCAATAGGCTAAACAACTCACCCAATGAATGGGATGTCGTACTAAAATTAATTAAAGTATTGGTAAACTATTTTTTTTTTAATTTTTATATTTTTAGACATTAGTTTAAGTATAAAAGTCTACATTTTTATTTTCATTTTAGGTTCAAATAACTTTTAAATATCACAATTTATTTTGTAAAGTTAATGGCATCCTCAGGAATGTTTAATAAAGTTTAAGTAATTAATTTAGTTTTATAGAAAGAACTCACTGGGCTGCAGTTAACATACGTGTGAGAAATTTTGCATAATATTTATGGGGTGTCATATCCTGCTGCCGTTGAATTCTAAATTGTCTGAGAGACGCACCCATGGAATAAAACATCGTAGAGAAGGAAGAGAGAGAGAGAGAAAGAGTAATGAATGATAAATTATGTAACATTTGTTCACTAAATGAGCCACCTATTTATAGAAAATAGACCAAAAAATTACATCTTTACCTCTACTTAAATAGGGACAGAATGAGATATTTTAGGTAATGGACACTAATAAGGCCATGAACCTAAAGGCGTCTAGCCGGGTGTACAATGTGGATGTATATTGTTTTTAAGCTGACAGAATAATGAGGACTGTCAATCAGATGTTCGGGGGTTGTTATCTTCCGCTGATCCATGTGATGAATTCTGCTGAATCGGCCATACGAATTTTACTGTTGGGATATACTTTGGATGGGTCTCCGTTTTCTGTCTGGTATGAGTGTTGGCTGTCACCCGATTGAGTCTATCAGGTGATCAAAGGCAGACCCTTGGTTTTCTCTTGGTGGGCCCTTACTTGGACATCCTCTACCTCACGGTCGTTGGATATCTTTGAGATTCTTGTTGTGGTATGACTCATATACCATATAGGGACAGACGCTGGAACGAAGCGGAGCGAAGCGGAGCGAAAGAATCTGTCCAAATTGGGAAGTTACGTTATATGGGTTGGGGCTATACGGTACAGGGGTAATTTGGGAATTACATATTGTACTGCAGGGCTTACTCTAGTCTGTAACCCCAGGAGGTATCCCAAATTATGTAATCTCTTTTTTGAATATTGAAAGGTATTCGCCGCTCTGCTCTCGAGGACGTATGCATCTTTGCCGAACCTCGTTAAATCTCTGTGTTCTTCTGGATTTGTGTCGATTCCTATTTTTCTTCGCCCTAATTTTCTCAACAAGTGGTATCAGAGCGCAGGTTCGAGGGCAGGGAAGAAAACTGTGGCGGCGCAGGAAGTAAGAAGAATGATTTGAGGATTTTGGAAGGAGAAGTTTCGGGACCTGCGTGGCTTCGATTCGGAATCGAGGTAGCAGATTTGAAGGAGGAGTTCCCGCGAAGGAGGAATCGAGGAGATCGAGGCCAGGCGACTTCGGCGAGGGTTCCAAAGTTCGGCGGCGAGGTTTTACAAATCAGAGCGGAGGATCGCGGCGTTCTGCATAAGGAACGAGTTCGCGGCAGCAGAGGCTCTTGATCGCGGCGCGGCTTAGGGAAGCGGATTGCGGGCTCGAAGGCGGAGAAGCTCCGGTGCAGGAGTTCGGCGGTGTAGGAGCTCGGCATCCTTCTCAGGCGGCTGCACAGACGATTCGCGTGAATCGTGACAGAGGCGAAACAGAAACGGGCAGAAAAGGAAAGGAGCGGGGCGACAGGCAGAAGCTTTCGGCGAAGGCTTGCGGGAGGCAGAAGCGAAGCCAAAGGATCGCGGAAATTTCGGCTTGGGCGGCACAGACGATTAGCGTGAATCGTGACAGAGGCGAAACAGAAACGGGCAGAAAAGGAAAGGAGCGGGGCGACAGGCAGAAGCTTTCGGCGAAGGCTTGCGGGAGGCAGAAGCGAAGCCAAAGGATCGCGGAAATTTCGGCTTGGGCGGAGCTTTGCAGCCAACGAAAATTTCGGCGTTCAAGAATCAAGGAATCGGCGGGGAATAAAAAAGGGCCTGCTGCTACTTTGGAAAGGAAAGTTATTACATATATATATATATATATAATATATATACAATGCAAT